AATAATAAAAATGAATGCCAATTTAATTATGTATAAAAGTCTTTATATTTTGTTAAATTTTTAAATAATTTTTTATTTGTTAATTGAAAAGCAATGAGTTGCTTTAAAACTCCCATATACGAATTATTTAAAAAATTATATAAAATATATTTAACCTAATATACATTTATTACTAACTTGATTATTTATTTAAGAAAAAAAAAACTGAAAAAAAGGAAAAAATGCAGGATTCGACCTCCAGCGTTCCAATCTCGCATCTTACAAGCTCGAGCACATTAACTCGGGTTTATAAATGAGGAATATAAAGCTGGTTCTACATTAGTTGCAAGCCGATCGCAAACGTTGATTTCAAAATGCAAGCTTCAGATTGACTGTCGCAACAAACGATCAGCTTGTAACTAATATAGAACCGGCATGATAACGCACATGAAAAATCATAAACGATTAAATATCTCATAAACTGCATTTTGACATGATTTATACTATTCTGGATTAATGGAAGGGGTATACTATTACTACAATTTATTAAAACTTATATGTCATTTAGAATGTCTCTCGCCCCTTATTGATACACACTTACCGGTCGAGATTGCCGAGAAAGCATTTTCGGTTACTTAAAAAACAATCGACTAGAGCGAGAAGGATAGACGTTCTCTTGCTGTTTCGTTCGCTCTCGGCGCGCTGAAGACGAGCACACATGGGCTCGTGCGTGCGTACATGCGTGTGCGTGTGTGTGGTTACCGGTTACGCCAGATCGCCGACTGGTGCCGCTGATCGCGTACCTAATTCTTACCGTTGATTCTGTGTCGCCACCATCAACGTGAAGTTCTTGGCTGAGTACTTAGGGAGGAGCCTCAATTTTGATTTTTCATACAGGTTTGTGTTTTCTCATAACTTTTTTCTTTTATTTTGGAGAAAGATTTTTATTCTGTATAAAGAAAACGAAATGAACATAAAAATATGAAATGCGTCGGTAATTCTAGCTAGAGTTCGAAAATTCTTGGTAAAATAAAATCAGAGAGGGTAATAAAGAATATTACTATATTCTTTCGGAACGCCGAAATTTTCTAAAAGGACCGAAATTTGGCATGTTCCATAAAATTCGGAAAAGTTGATCACCCTACCCAGGAGGGACGTAGGTAAATACAAAATGTAATGTAAATACAAAAAGAGAATGAGATGATGGCGAGAGAGATAAAAATCTAAAAATAACGAGGGTGATCCGACGTTGATCGTTAAATGTTCGCGCTTGCGAACGAATTAGCAAAAGATGCGCGCAAAGTTAATGAAAATATAGTTACTAGGAATATAAAAAGTAGTGAAAAGGGAGAGAAAGAAGAAAGAAGAGAAATTTATATTACAATTCAGGAAGATTATGTTATAACCTAACCGGAAATAATATACGACACAGAAGATATAATTGGATAATAACGGTAATAAAGATTGGTTAAACGTGTGCGCGCCATAAGAAAGAAAAGATAAATTTAAAAAAAAAAAGAAAAGAGCAGGAAGAAGAATATTTATCGTTTTACGCTTTTTAGTTTTTAAAGAGTAGACCATCCAAAGTCTTTTAGAAATAATTACTAGTTCAGCATCTTGACAATTTCAATAAGTAACAAGCTTCTGAAATATCGTGGGAAAACAGTAGTGAGAAGGAGAATAAACGCGAGGAAAAATGCGAGGATCTCAATAATGTTACAAGGTACATCGATAAAGCCGACATTCGAATGTCGTTATCTGTAACAAAGGATCGCGCAAACGTGCATTCATGCACACGAGAGGATTGCATGAAAGAGAGTGGCTAAGGAATGGAAAATCACGTAAACGGATTCAGACAAATCGCATGGAATGCGAGGAAAATGCGGAGTGAACAGGAACAGCAAACTAAGGGGAGATGATGATAATACTTGTAAACTTATAAAATGACGTGCGTGGTAGTCGGATTGCTGAGCGAAAGGCCATTTTTATTGCGGTGAAAAATCGATGGCGTTCGCTCGTAGCGGATAAAAGAGAAGTATAAGATAAACATGGCCGACGAATAGAAGCATACTAAAAGTAAGACAACTAGTAAGTCGGAAAAAGGGATAGATAAAAGAACAAAAGCCCGCCGTCTCGGAAATTCCGCATAACACGATGGTTATCAGATTTTATTTGTAAACACATTGTTATTGCAGTTGTTGAGACAAAACTGTATTGAAACTGCGTAGATACAAGCGTAGATTCTGACCGATTGTGTGTGTGTGTGTGTGTGTGTGTGTGTGTGTGTGTGTGTGTGTGTGCGTGCGTGCGTGCGTGTGTGAATTATCTTCAAGTTATAAGTATTTAAAACGAATTAAAAATAAATATGAAAGAATACAGAAATAATAAAGGGAGATATTACATTCACATAAATTAACAGTAATTAGAAAAATACGGTGCAAAATAATAATAATAATTCTTTATTGCAAAATGTACAACATTATGGAGATTTAAACTAACAAAAACAACTGTGAATGACAAATAGTACATGCAAATAGTAAGGCAAATTGCTGCTGTAAAACCTGCCAGTAACCAAAGTCAAGTACAAATATAGTATATGTGCAGTGGTAGAGGAGTGGCAGCATGATAAAAAAATAAAAATTGATGAGGCTCTTTATAAAAAATAAAAATAACGCTATGATCGTTAACGTTGATGTGAAATATGAGATGGCAATATTGTTAAAATATTAAAAAGGGGACAGATAAGGAACTATATATGTACAAGATATAAAGGATCTCCTTCGAGACTGAAAGAAGAGCCCTAAGGTAGAAAGTTGAGATAAAATAATGCAGGGGAAAAAAGCGGCGTGAAAACTAAAGTGAAGGAAAAAGGTAAGACGAAAATGAGACACTTGGACTTTCTGAGGAGTGCTGTCTCATATAAATATACTTTCAAATAGCATTATATAGCAAGATATAGATAATACATCGACAAATCATTAATACAATGTTCATTTTCATTAGTTCTTTTATTGCTGCGTATATTTTACTCGCTGTACATTTTCCTCCTCATAATAAAAAACCAAAGACGTTAGGAAAAATCTTTAGCAATGTGTCGAACAAAGGTAATTTTAGAACAAGAGATTATTATGATATCCGCGATAGTGTAACGTGAATACTTTATAAAAGAATGTTTGAAATTCATCCCTCTACAGTTCAGAAGAAGTTAATCTGTTGTCTCACGAAGCGCATCTGAAACAATAAGCGAGAGAACAGAGAAAGTTGGAGAGCAAATAAAGGTAAGAGAGAATATAAAGGCGCGAAGGAGAAGTAACGCTGGGAAGAGACAACTGCAAAGATGGATAAGTTGGTGAAAAATAAAATGGCCGAAGAGGTGCATCGCCCGCTGAGCAGGGCGAGTCGTCTTCTCAAGAAGGAAAGACGCTCTTGATGGTTCCGCTTTAAAGATAACGAAGCGAGTTCTTCGCGGAACAAAGCTTCGTAACCGCCGCCGCGGCCGTCGCAACGTTCGCGAAGTGTTTGCTGAGGCTGTCTCCAGCAGTGCGACAGGAGCGACAGGTGGCTCCGTGTGCCCGCTTTTTCACCCCTTCTCACCTTTTCTCTCTCTTTCCCACCCTCTTTCTTTCTCTCTCTTTTTCGTTGCCGTTTCTCCATCCATCATCCTCTCACGATTCCGCTTCCAGGCTCGCTCGCACCGTTGGCACTCGCTCGGGGGTGTGATTTAAAGTGTAAACTTAAATATTCCAGTTGGTATCTTCGTGCAAATAGATTCGATATTAATGGAGCTTCAGCACCTCGCTGGGAAAGAGAAAGACAGGGGATATCCGAGTATCTACAGGAAATTCTAATGGTGAATCTAACTACTCCATGAACCTGATATACTTTGTATATTTAACAAAAGAGAATATAATAAAGACGCAAAGGAAATCTTTGTAAATGAAAACTGAGATTTTAAATAAATTACAACAAATTAAAATTCCCAACAACATATAGAACGTTTGGCGTTAATATGAAGAAAATAATATTTGAAGTGAAGTATAATAGTTTTTTCATGGAAAAATTCTTGCGGTTATATTCTCATTCAGAGCGTCATCAAAGAAATCTCAAGTAATCTCCTTGAACGACGTGCAAAACGTTTCGATCTGACTTTTTCATCTTCTTTTTTCATTTTGATGGAAAGTGATAGAAAGGCAGGGCGGAATTAAGTATCTCGGCTCAAAATAATTATCGATCTGCTTTTATCGAATCTACGGCGAACTTACCTGCTCTGGGTATACAGAAGAAAGGAGATGTCTTGCGTAAAGACAAATTTGAAGAAATCTATTGACGAGAGTCAGTGGGCACTTTGATTTTCTTTTTTGACTCATTAATCATAATCTACTTTTACAATTAAAAGACGAGGGAATCGATATTCTATGTATCACTTATGCATATCCGCGTGTATATATTTAAAGAAAATATTTCTTCTGTGTCGAAAACTATAAAGACAAAATTTGACAATATAATCGTACTAGTACACTGCCGGCTAAAAATTATATAAGGTCACTTATTAACTGAAGATGTTTACCATATAAAAAATCGAATTTATGGATTATTAATTTAATATATTATAATATATTTTTATTATTTTATTAATTTTTTTACAATATAATAAAAATTAATATAAAAAGTTTGAAATTTCACAAAAATATTTTTTACAAGAAAAACATTAAAAAATATTAGATTATTAGATACTTTTTTAGTCAGAGTAGCCAGTCTTCTTTAATCAATTCTTTTTATTAAATCTCTCTGATTTTTTAGTTACATGTTATTCATGTTATAATTTTATTAAATATGTTGTCTGTTTATTTATTTTCAAATTAAGAAAAAAAATTGAATCAAGTGTGAATCAAAATTTCAAGTAATGTTTCACTGAAATATTTTTAAATTTTATGCGATCTCAAACCGGCAGTATATATTCATACTTCACTTAATCTATAGAAGGGAAGAGGATTCACATGATATAATAAAATATTCAATCGTATAGAGAAAAATAAAGGAAGCTTTATTCTTTACATACCATAGCAGGCGATACGAGTCGGCCGCGCATCGTTGATGCAAACGACAAACGCGCGCGTCACCGACGACGCAGAGATATAAACAAATATCAGTAGGAAGATCGGGCCAGTAGGGGGTCTCGGGATACACGATAAGATCGGTAAGATGGGATCCTCTTCGTCGCGCGGGATCGTATAGTACACACTATCGTCTTTCTTATCATCTCTCCGTCCTTGCTTTCTTTCATCGCCATCACCTTCGGCTTCTTCAGGTCACGCCAAGATCGCCGCTAGTTTGTGCAGATTCGTTATGGTCGTCGCGTCGCCCGGCTGTAACCTGAGAGCCTCCTTGTAAGCCGCGGCGGCTTGCTTGTACTTGCCGTTCAGGTGTAGGATTGCGCCGAGATTCGTATGACTGCGGGCCTCGTGTGGCCTTAGATTGGCCGCGTGTCGATACCAGACCTCGGCCTCATCGCGACGATCGGCCTGCCTCAGCGCCGAGGCCGCCGCGACCGACAGTTCATAATCGGACCGCAACAGCTCGGCCGCTCGCAGCTGCTCTTCGGCAGCCTCCACCAGTCGACCCTGCGACGTCAGGAACAACCCTGGAAAATTTGCAAACAAATATCATTGTACGTGTCGCGAGGCCGCATCGCGTTCGGTCAATTTATACGTCGTGTATTGTTACAATTTGTCAAGTCACTCGACAAATCGTTAATCGACATGGCAATTACATTAAACAATAAATTTTGATCAACATTTTCTTTCTCATCAAGTAATAAATGTTTCTTGTAGACCGTTTACTAGAAACATCTATTATAATCTAAAAAAAGTATTTTCAAAAAATTTGCCACCTTTAATTTTTTGAAACTACGTTTTGAATTCTTTTTATATACATCTAAAACGTAAATTCGATAATATATGTAATGTATAACTATACAAAATTTACAGTTTTTTAATAATATAATAATATAAAAGTAAATGTGATAGGTCTCTTTTATGTATTAATTTTTAAGTACAATAATATATATTAAAATAATACAACTTATTGTCAATCTTTAACATCAACAAATTACACTGCTTTATAAGATTTCTGTTTCTTATCACCTAAATGATTCGTATATATTTTACTCCGTAAAGGAAAAGAAAATGTAAATTATTTATATTTATAAAGATTTTTTTTAAATAAAGGCTTTTGATTTTTTAAAATTTGTGAGTAATAAAATTCTTTTAATTTTTTTTTCAACAGTTTTAAAGTATAATATATAAGAATTATCATTCCAGTTATTAAGGAACAGAAACTTTGTGAATCAGAGTGTTATTTATTTAACCTCCAGGTGGCCGGGCTTTTTTTTATCTGAAAAAAATGCACTTTTGCTAAGTATTCTCATATAAGTGTAGCCCAATGATCAACTGTGATGTGTCGGTCATGGGGTGATATCATATGATGCCGGCCGTCAACAGTTCTGAAAAATTTTTTTCTTTTTAAATCAGGAAATATATGTACTTGGAGGTTTTCAAGATCGCTAAAAATTTTTCTGATCTAGGCTTTGAAAAACCTCATATAAATCAGAAATCAATGTTTATTTAATTTTTCAATATTACGTACTTAAATTCGATAAAATAAAACGATTTCCGCTTAACATCACCCAGCGCTAATGGCGTTGACGGAACGCCTTTTTTAGTCACGCCATATCTATGTATGAGTTTTCAACTATCTATAGGTTTGATGTAATTGCTTTTTTCTCTTGCTATGATATGATAAGATGTTATATAACTTACCACCTATTCTGATATATACTGTAAATACAATATATCATAAATATTATATATATATATATATATATTATATATATATATCATTTATACATAATATGTACGGTATGGTTCCACATATATATTATATATTTAAATATATTTTATACAATCAAAATGGATGACACCATATGATGCCATCCCGGCCGCCTGGAGGTTAATAAGTATAAATCTATAACTTTTATTCAATAATTCATTATTTTATAAATGACTGTATTGATTTCTCTTACAATACATAAATAATAAATTTGATTTTTGACAGACGAAGAAGATATATATATTTTGAAAAATTTTTTGAGATTTTTTTGCATAACGGTATTATTTTTAATTTGAGAAAAATTTAATAAAAACAAACATTTTTAATAAATGAGACAGAAATTTAATTTGTATTTATTGAATCTCTATTTATTTGAAATTAAATAGACACTGTATTTATTATTAACTAATTAAGTGAAAAAATTCAAGATTATAGATTATTGATCATCTATATTAATAATGTTCTGTTGAGCGAATGGAAAAAATATACGCGAAAAGATTGTTTTCGTATCTGGATTGCAATTTAATATTTTGAAGCGTCACCGACGCTGAAGTTTCCCCGGTATTTTAATACTCGTCGATTCATCCTCGGCATCTCAACTCATCTCCATGTCCTTTAGTATTCAACCTTCTTTTCGATTAGCCTATCCGCTCTCCTTCTCATCAGAGATCGACTATTATCCTACAAGACATATTACAACGGTATTTATAGCGGCTCGATGAATCATCAATCCTCTTATCTCCTCCTCCTGTTAAGATCTCTTCAAATCTTGGTTCTTTGATTTTCTCCCGTCCCGATTCCTCCTTGCATTTTGAGGATTCCTTTTCAGAATGAAATCAGGGTTTGAAAATCAATTATACCATTGGTACAATGAGGCCTCGACTGTAGCGACTGATGTGACGATGAAGATGATGAGAGGGAGGAAAAATGATCAATTCTCTCGATTCTCTTGAGGAGTGCTTTAGGGAGGTATAAAAGCGAGATACTTAAGAAAGTGTATTTCATTGCTTTAATGATGAATGAGGATTTTCCTTTATCACTACCTAAGACGACTATAAATACAGGGCATTAGACATTTAAATTGCGATGCAATCGGGAGCCGAAAGGCAGATCATGATCGGCGAGAAGCCAGATGGATGAAATAACGATGGAAAAAGGAGATGGAGATAGTCCATTGACGAATTCCAGACAACGTCGGTGAATTTGCGACGCAGGAAACGACGGCGACGTAGTTTCCTACAGTCGCAATTAAAGGAGCTCTTGGTCGCGCCTTACCGTAATGATGGTGCACACTGGGGTCGTCCGGTGCCAACCTGCGGGCCCTCAGGAACCATCTCTCCGCTTCCAGGACACGGCTCGACTAAAGAGAGAGAAAGCAGAGGCGACGCGTGAGCCACCGCGAACTCGATAGTCCTGTCTGTCCCCCCTCCCCCTGGCGGTTGCTACCGGTTGAGGAGCTTGTTCTATTACATTGGACAAGATTTTTGAATATATATATATAGTATATCGGTTAACACTAGAACAGCCGAAGATAGGTAATCGACTATAGAATCGAAAGTGCCAATTTGGCTTCTATCCTTGTTTTCGGTTAATATTATATGTTATTATTAACACTATTTCAAAATTGTATTCATATATTTTCAATATTCTGCAATAACACAAAAGCAAAATTTTACTTCACTCAATTTAACAACCGCATATTTCCACCGTTCGCATGCGTCACATTTAACGACCATCCCTTATAAGTAAAGCGATTTTTAACTCTTTTTATTATATCTCAAAAAAATTTCAAGTTATCACAAAAGGTTTTAAACAAAAGTTTTAATAAAATTACCTTTATTTATTTATGTTAATAATGTTTTTAAAAAATAATTATTTTCGAAGTTCATATTTTTAACCTATCTGTTATTACCGAAGATTACAACTTGACCATTAATTTGACTGGGAAAATATAAGAATTTTAGATAATGAAAAATACTTGGGAAAAAGTTTGTAAAAAAAAAATAGAGTAATTATGCACATTTTGGTTTAGCACTTTTCTGATAAATGGAGCTGCTATCGCGGCGAAATTTTTAGACTAGCCGTAATTCTTTTTAGATATAACCACAAGTTATTAGGTGTTGGAATTAATTCGTAGCGTTTTACAAGTGATGGGAAGTACTTTCATTAATGTATTTTTTTTAATGCTCATGTGAAATAAATAACATTCTTTCATTAAAAAAACGCTACGAATTAATTCCAACACCTAATACATAATTTGAAAATGTAGTTAAAGCAAAAGTGAGAAAAGGTGAAATTACATATTTTCATCCTCATTTTCTAAATTCATCTATATGTATACATACAAAGTTTCATTAAAATCAGAATTGAACATTCCGCGAGATTCTTTTGTTGTAAATGCATATTGATGCTTTCAACGGTTTAAAATACAAATAAAGATAAAACGTTTGAACATGAATGGAATGAATTTTTTTGTAAATCAAACTTCTAAAATAATAAAAAGTCAGAGAAAACTATTAACCAATTCATAAATTTATAAGAATTATGAAATTTTAAAAGTCAGCGGAGCCAAAATGACACCATCGGCCGTTCTAGTGTTAAATTATGAATGTATGTGTATACATACGCTGAATATAAACCTCCAATAATGAAAACGTATGTAAACATTAAGAAAAATCAAAGTTTTTAAAATTACAATAGGTAAATAAATAATAACTTTGAATTTTCCTTTCGCCACAGGAACATATTGCAATTTCTGTTGACAATTTCGATGGATACAATACACAATTCGCAAAAATTGAGTGTCACTGAAAAAAACAATATCTAACGCGAGAAACAGTAAAATAGATTTACATTCAGCGCTGAATTCTCTAAAAAAAGGACCTTTGGTTTCCTACAAAAGAATTTTGTTTTTTGTCAAAATTTTGTCAATCGTGTTGCTCGTTAATACCATCGAAATATAGTTGATATTTGACGCAAAATAAATCTACTTTTAGAGATGTAAAAGCCGAGAGGAGCGGGGACTTTGTATCGACCCAAATATGTTTATATCCGCGTATTGCATATTACGGTAGAAGTTTCTCAAATGGTCACAGCTGATACAGTCAGACTTGGAAAGTAGATCGCTATAAGATGAAATAGAGCGGCAATGGCAGACGATGGCGATCTAAAAACAAAACGATGGCTACTTACGTTCCGTGCCAAAAGTTTCCCGTAAGTGATGTGGGCCGGCACGTGGTCAGGCTGGCTGGCCAAACTCGCCTGAAACCACCTCTCCGCTTCCGCATACTGTTGCAGCCTCGACAGCGTCTCGCCTAACAGATTGTACACGCTCTGGAGGAAGAAAAAGAAATAAAAATGGACGGGTTATTTGTGATATTGAATTTCTTTTTGTTGTTACATTGCAGAAATTTAACAATTTTTACACGTATGTTCCGAGACGTTTTTGCTTCTCCAAATATTTTATTTTGACCAATTCGGAATTGATTTCTTATTTTAAAATAAAAACTTAATCGTACGTTACTTTTGTATTCGCAACTCTTTAGTATGCAAGATTAGACATTATTTTTATAAACATCATTGGATTTCTTTGTACTTCTTTCGAAGAAGTAGAAGACTGCTATACTGAAAGAAATAAGCTATACTGGAAACCTGATAATATTACCAAAATACCGAGGGTATTTTATTTAGCGTATTGATGTAACATTTAATAAATATTACAAACATAACTAACCAAATGATAATAATTACAAAATATTTAGAAAAGTAAAATTAGTATTTAGTTGGAATTGAATTAAACGCTATTTTTTGTTATATTAACCAAATATTTGATTAAAGTTATTTCATCAAAGCATTTAATAATTATCATCTAGGTTTGATTATTAATACCAATTTTTTTTAAAATAAGATTTTATATTCGATTTTATAGTCGAAACTTAATTTGAAAAAATTTCTAAATCTTAATTTCAATAATTTATATTAGTTATGAATTTAGATCACCACTTAAGTCACTTTTCTTCTTCTGCAGACTTTAAGAGTTTACTTGAGGTTTAATCTCCATTTTATTTCACGCTACTTGAATATGCAAACATCGGTTAAAGAATCCAGTAAGTGTGAACAACGTGTTTGAAAAACATGAGGCGAGAGGGTTATGTTTACAAGAAAATCACGTGTGGATCGAAACGCGAGAAGGTTCGTTAGCGTGCTGGGGAAAATTATGTTAATAAATTCAACAACTAATAAATTTGCTGGCAACTAATTTACAAAGCGTAACAAATTGCTGCAATATATGCGGACGCTTGTACGCGTTTTAATACACGCGCGTTACAATATAATAATAAGCTCTTAATTACCTTCAATCTAGAAAATGCGATTGCGAATGGCAGAACGCTGAAGTATGCCACTTCTGCGTTAATTAATTACGCTCAAATATATGAGGGATCATATCCAAAATTTTCATCGACGGATAAACTTGTGATATGACGTTTTGACTTGTACAATAAATAGAGATGACAAAAAGAGAATAATTTGATTTTGATAGAAATCCTCTCTTTGAAAAATTTTCCGATTTTTGGAGCTGATCATTATTACTGATAATTTTTCTAGGAAGGTAAGTAAATGTTCCAGTATATAAGTAATCTCAGAGAGAATTTTGAAAGAATTTAAATTGACAAATTCATCCATATAAATTAAGGAAAAGCGCATTAAATATAGATTTATATAAATTGCATTATTTCTTATAGAACTGAATTTTTGCCTAACGAAAATTGTGGCTAATTATTTGTCAACTGTTGACAAATTAATATTTCGTTAAAATTATACAATTTACTGCAATTTGAACAATTTGAATAGCGCATAAATATGTTTAAAGTTCCATTATCGCTAGAAAAATATATTTATTTGCACATTACTACAAAAATTTTTTCATATTTTACTTTCATACTTTGGACATATATACAAAAAGTTTATTACAGGTTGCAAATCGTGAGTAAAGAATATATGAAAAGAATAAACTATAAATCAGATGATTACATTGCTGAATAATAGAAAAAAATTAATCATAATTTGCCTAAAAAACCATAACAGTGGATTAGTCCAACTTTTGAGATAAATAGATAATTCTATCACTTATCCGCACATTTCTATATCACATATGATGACTACGTTGTAAGTTAGTTCATTGTTATAGCAAACTCTTTAATTAATTTCGAATTTTGCAAAGAAATAAAACTATATCGTTTTTTCCTTTTTTCAAAAGACACGACTAAAAAAATTAAGTTTTTCAAAAAAGACGAAAAACTATTTTTTAATTTAACAGATAATTATTACGAGTAACTATTATTATAGAGTATTCAATAATATCATCAAAAAATATTAGAATATATTAGAATATCAGATTAATATTTTTAGAAATATTAGAAATACACAGAGAATCATTTACTTAGAAACATAATCGAATGTTGTAATTTTTTGTTATTTCACATCCCTTAAAAAGGGATACTACTTTTTTTTAATTAAGTGACTATCCTATAAAGTCATGACAAATCAGGAATAATTCATAAAAAATAACATAACTATGAAATATTATCAACAGTTTATATTTATCTCGATTAGCTAAAATGATTAAAATATAAAATAATTTATTAAATTAATAAAATCAAAATAAAATAATTTTTTCTTCAAATTTCGAACATCGATTGTTCCAATTTTAACTTGTTCTCTGTAAAAGATTCTCCTTTTTATTTACAAAAATGACACAATTCAAATATATCATTCTTATTGAAGGCATTGTGATGTCTTTAAAAATGTCTAAAAGACAACACAAATGCTAATTGGTGGACGGATTGTGAAGTTAATTTACTTTTAATGATTAACAGAGTACTGTATACCTAACCCAATCATAATAACAACTCGAAAATCACATTTTTTAAGGTAATTTTTGAAGTAAAGGAATGATATCATCACTTTACGCATGCTCTAAAAAAGAAGTAACAAAACGGTCGAGAACGTCACGGGGCGAAAATCGAAAACCTTCCCAGGCACACATGAGAGACATCGCATCTCTCGCATCTCGAAGTTGTAGTAGGCTAAAACTTTTATGATTTCGTTCGAGACGAGTCTGCGAGCCGTCGGAAGCGACCAATGGGGCAAAGTTTTTCACGAGCGAGAAAAATAAATATAGCGGGGCGACTGAGAGATAAGAGAAGAAGGCGACTCAGTTGTCAGCAGTGACGGAGGCGCATGAGGCGCATACCTCAGTGCCCGATTGTTGCGAGGACCCGGCTCTGGTTGAAGGTACTCTATGACTCGCGTTGATTGTCAGCGCGAGTGGCTCATACATGCGCCGCGTACATCGTCACTTATACATGTCAGTTATAACTGATATATTTTTATACACATATATTGGTCCATATTCTAAATCCTGTTTAATCGTTAAAGGCATTAAATCGCTTTTAAACATACACAGATACTGTATATGCTTAAAAGCTTAAAAGCCTTTATCGATAAAAAAGGATTCAGAATGTAGACCAATGTCTACAGTTGTGACCCGTATCAAGTTGAGCGTGTGCGTTGTATCAGAGTCGGAAACATAAACCGACCTGATGTGGAAACTTTGAATTAATGACGTCGGTACTATTAGTTGATAATGTAATATCAAGCAATGTTAACGTTAACATGTAATGTCAACCAATAATAAAATATGTGACGTCATCAATATCATTAATCTAATCCAGGTGAAAATCCGCTCGGTTTGAAAATGCTGTAAAAGAAGGTTTCACTTTAATCGAAATTAACAGTAGATATTCATTATTCCTTCTTATTATTTCTTATTTTAGATTTACATTTATTTATTTTAGATAATATGAATTAGAAACACGCCTTTGATTCTGAAAAACGAAAAAAAAAAGCAAAAAAATTTTGCGTTAATTTTATTAACGCAAAATTTTTTTGGTTTTTTTTTATTAAATAAATTTACAAATGTTTATGTTTTGTATTTTTTTTTTCAAGGACATAAAGACCCAAAAATTTTTAGCGTTTCAGGCCTTTTTAAAAAATTTTTTTAATCCGGCACTGGTCGTGGGAACTCGTGGGACTCGATTGCTTCGTGATTCAATGGATTCCGCAGTTTTCTCAATTCTGTAGAGATGTCTCGCGGGGAATTGCCGCCACGCGATTCCAATTGCTGAACAATTGTCAATCACAAGAAAAGAAAATTGATTAATATCCTTATTTAATCCTCCAGATCTAATTTCAAAATCTGTAACAGTTATCGACGTTGGGTTTGTAATCCATATTAATTATTTTAATTTATAATTTGTATTAATTAAAAGATACTTAATTTCGACTAAAATGATGTGAAAAAGATTACTAGTATATTTTAATAAGAATAATTGAAATTTACAAATGTAACATAAAGAAAATTAAATTTTTTGATATTTTCAACAAACAGATTTATAATTGAATGGAATCGCTGTCAACTCTGGAAAGTTAAAATGTTTTTGTAAAATACAAATTATTGAAATTATCGATAATTTATGATTGAACAAAAAATTTGGAGATAAAAACAAAGTCAAAGGAAAGGAACTTTTAGAGAAATGTTACGTATAGGAATAAGTTTGATAAAATAATGTAACATATAATTACCTAATCACGAAAATATACTGTCGCGCTGTTACGAATGGAATAAAATAACGATTACATTAGCTGCTGCAGATAATAACAAAGTACGTAATGAATTGAAATAAAATCTTGATATACACAATTTTTGGCGTAATTATTTCGACATAGCGGGATTTTCTTGCCTGCTGACACTTTCTGACACGCGTTATTCGGAAATGCTTTCTATTTCAGGACCTAAACATGACGTTTTGCGTCTACTTTTTGTCCACTTTTTTGTCGCGCGCAACGTACTCTCGCGTGTTTCAACGCATGATTACGCTCGCGATGAATGTTGCTTCTTTTGTGATCGTGATCATTATTTTCTCGCTCGTGCAACAAAAATACGCTTTTGAATAGGAAATGTGACAAGTCGCACAAAGTGCCGTTGCTTCGCGTCAAAGAATGCACCGGCAAAGTCGCGAGCACAAGGCAATGCTGTCCCTCATACGTTCGCATTGTTCCGAGTCATTATTCACTTGGACTACTTTTCAAGGATGTTGCGCGCACTTGCTTAGACGTAATGCTCACTCGAGCTCGTGGTTCACAAAGCATTGCCTCTGTCGATACCCGCGGCTTTTATGCACCCAAGAAGGTCTCACGTCTCTGCGTCGAGCTGAGAAATAATGATCTCGGCTAGCATCTATTCACCATATAACACCGCAATATGTGTGACA